AAAAAAAAAAAAAAAAAAAAAAAAAAAAAAAAACACGAAACAAACAAAAAAATTTATAAACACACCAGGAAACAAACTATAGTAATCAAAGACTAGTACAATGAAGTATATGATAGCATTCACACCACAAGAAGTACAGATACAGCCATCTACCACATCTCTCACCATTCATTACCTTTCTTAATTCACCCTAATTCATGACTATTCTCCTGTATCTTTATCTCTGTTTACATCAAAGAACTTAATGTGTGACAAGAGATCCACTTGTCAGAAATAGTGGCTAGTATGAGGGAATCCAAATTATAAACACAGATTATAAACACAACATCTGACTACCACGGAGAACATATTCCTTTCCAAACACAGAGGGAACATTTATAAAAGTTGGCTATATCTTGGGCCACAAATCATGTCTCAAATAATTTCAAAGATTAAAATTACAGAATTCATTCTCTAACCATAATATATTGGAAGTATAAAGCAAAAACAAAAAGATAACTAGGAAATTCTATTATGTTTAAAACTTAAATACAACCCCAAGTAACCCATGAATCAGGGCAAATTATAGTGGAAATTAAAATACACTTTGACCTGAACAATAATGAAAATACTATGTATCAAAACTTATGCAATGTAGTTAAAAGTGATTATTGGGAAATTTAAAGCTTCAAAATGAATACACTAATAACAAAGAAATGTTGAAAATTACTGAGCAAACTGTATCAGGAAGACAGATAAAAACATCAAAACAAACTCAAGAAAGTGGGAGGAAGGAAATAAATGGAAATTAACATAAGAGAAGGCAAATATTTAATAATCAACAAAGTCAAAGTTTCTTTGGGTTAAGAAATCTACTAAAATTGATAAACCTGACAAAACTGATCCAGAAAAATACTACACATATATATTGCCCAAATAGGTGTCTTGTCTTTCATTTTCTCTTCAGCATTCTCCTTACATCCCAAATCCTAAAAATATTTTCTCTTATATCATCTTCTGGACATTATAATTCCCCATGAACTATGATCAATACTCAATTACCTCGAGTAATTGGGACCTGGAAAATTAGAATTATCAGATTCTTCTACATTTCTATTTCCTTCCAAAAATTTTTTTTCAATACAGTTGTTACAGAACAAGACAAAAATATACAAATAACCTGAACTTAAATGTGTGACAAGAGATCCACCTGTCAGAAATAGTGGTAGTATGAGGTAACCCAAAAACAGGTTGGGGGGTGAGAGTGGGAATAAGAGGGTCAAGAAAAGAGATTTAGCAAGTTAAATACTAATCAGCCACAGAAAAATGTGTTAGTTAACTATATAAAGCTTTCAAGAATTGCCACCACCTTAGTGATTAATGATTGACTCAAATAACTGCAAGATTTTAAGATTAACATAAATAACTGCAAATATACTTACAGTACCACCAACTATTCTTCCTAGTGGATACCATGCTCTTTCATCAAACCAATTTAAAAATTCATAGAACCCATGAGATGCAAGATGATGTGTTGATCTATAATTAAACCTAGAGAAAACAGGAAAAAAAGAAACGTTATAAAACTTTACTAGAAAAAAATAGCTCTATCTTTCTAATATTATACTTTATATTTAACTCTTTATATACAGCTCTATGGCTACATAAATACATTCTTTTTTTTTTTTTTTTTTTTTTTTTTGGTTTT